TTTCATTTGTATGCTAGATGCATGATACATAAACCTATCATGTTGTGCACTAAACTTCAAGCAATATATGTTGTTGATTATAAATTTTACATTGACTCAAATTCATTTTATATAATTGGTCATTGTTTTACTGGCCTCCCTTATTTTTGACCATTTTTTCCATTGTTTTACTTATTTTAGCAAAGCTCTTAGTTAACAAATATATGCCATATGCATGATACATTCTTGTAAGCTATCACATTAGTATACAAAGATATGTTTTTGATATGCTTTGTAACCACATTACAGACAAAACAAAAAAGAAAAAAGAAAGGAAGAAAGAAAGAAAAGTTTCAGTTGTAATATTAATTCTTGATGTAATACTAATGTGATTAGGAATTCTTTGGTCACTCTATAAGTATTAATAATACTAATCAGCGCTTCATTACACTTATCTACAAGAACTTGAACATACCTTTAATACCCTCATATTTTGATTATGCACACCAATTCATTTATCTTTTTCTTTTATTATTCTCTCAAGATAATTGAAAATCATATGAAGATCTTTCTGTGCTCTATATACCTTTTGATTAATTATCTTAGCAATAAATAGCTTTTAAAGTGGATCTTTCGGATATGAAATTAAATTAATTCTTTTTTATTGACATTATTTTTTAAAGTTCATCTACCATTGTTATCTCCCATAGCTTCATTGTATTTTCCTAAATTATTTTTCTTTGTTTTGAAATATTAGTATTAAAATGTTTCTTTTCTAATGTTTTGTCATCCATTTGGTTTCTAAATCTCATTTAAAAGATTTGATCGCCATGGCATTCTAGGATCTCCCATAACTATACTAATTTTAATATCTCATATAGAACCTAGGTTTTACTGTTATCTATATTCTTCAAAGATTATGTGCATTCAATTTTTTTATTTAATTTATATTATACTTAGTGGTCTTATTTATTATGTTATTCTAAAAGGTCCTGTTAAGATAAATAGATTTTAAAATATTTCACTTCTACCAAATTTTACAGCAATTTTCTTAGCTATTCTGCTTATTTTTTTCCTTCTTTCTTTTGTTCACGCATATGCCCTTGCTCATGGCTGGTTAGAAGAAGCAACTTGTATGAGATGATATCTAGAATTGGTCCACTATTCTACACAATAGTACAATACTATCTAATCAAAAACTTGTGTTCATTTTGTCACATACACAAGCTTTTTGGGAAGAATTTCATCCAATGGTGTCAATCAACAATGATGTTTATCTGTTTGAAAGTCAAGGATGAATATCTCATGGGAGCAGTTCACACACTCAATGACAAACACCTTAAGTTTGATCATGGAAATGGAAAATAATATGGTGATGTTAATCATTCCATTACAAATTAAATTGGATAAAATACAAAAAAAAATTGGGGGGATGCGGCAAAAGAGACTTGCTCCAACATTGTCAATACCTTGGCCATAGTCATAATCAAGTTCATTCTCCATAACTTGTGTTAAGAGGATGATATAGTGATGATATAGTAATGATATAAACTCTTTTAACTCATTTTGACAAGAATTTGATATCTTTGATGAAATAAAATTGAAATGCATTGAAGAGAGTTAGAATAGCAATGCAGGAAGATAGTGGAATATGAACAATTGTACAAGTTCCTACTTAGTTTAAATAAAAAATTAGACGAATAGCTAAGTGTTAGACCGGTCCAAGGAGGACCGGTCCAGCCGGCCCAGCCCCTTGGGCCGGCTTTGTTCGTCTACGCCAGGAGGGCCGGCGGACACAAGAAGAAGGGAGAGGGGTGGGGTCCACTTGAAGTTTGAATTGTTTCTTGGAGCCAAAAGGAGGGGAAGCAAGGGTAATTAGGTCCTTTTGTTTTAGATTTGAATTGTATGCATTAAGTAGGGGAGAAAAGGGGGGATTAGGGTGAGGAGATATTTTGTGAAAGTTTTTCTTGTTCTTCTTTGGTGGCTAGGGCTCTAGATTGAATTCTAGAGATTGGGAGAGTGCGATCCTCCTCTCGAATAGAGGATCCTTGTATCTTTGCTATTGTCCTTTCATCTTCTAGTAAAATACAAGTTCTTACTTCGTGTTTCTATCGTTTTCTCGCGTTTTCCCACTGTTTTGGCTGATTTCCTGCTGTGGACAGCAGTTTGCTGTGAGATCTTTGGCTAAAGTGATTAGGAAATACTTGGAATCAAGTATTTCCTATCACTAAGTTTTTAAGGGCAATTTAGTACCAATATGTAGGCAACCCCATTATCATCTCAATAATTTTAAAAAGTACGATACATTTGAGACGCAATTTCCCGACGCAATTTCCCTCCATGATCAGAGGGTGGTCTTTCATTTTTTAACTTTAAAAAATACAAAATATCCAACTTTAGATTCTATAATTTTGTGCTTGGGGTATGTTGATGATTCGGATGAGTCTTTAATATATCTTTCATTAATCCAATTTTCTTTGTAGCTTCATCGACTAACTTTGGACCCATCAACAATCTTATTCTTTTTTCGGCCTAACTTAATGGGGTTTTGCATCTTTTGCCATGAATGCTTCATAGAATGCCATTTTTTGAGTACTGGATTGATAATTATTGTTGTATGCAAACTCAATAATTTGAATGTAATCTTTCCAAAATCCTCTAAAATTCAATACACATAATCTTAATAAATTTTCTAGTACTTAAATAATTCTTCTAGATTGTCCATTAGTCTGAGGAAGAAATGTTGTTCTGAGATGTAATTTTGTTGCCCAAGTTTTCATGAATACTCTTTTATAATTTTGAAGTAAATCTATCTTCTCTGTCTGATACTATCACTTTTAAAATGCCATATAATCTTACAATTTCCTTTCAAATAGAATCTTGCCATGTTATCAAACTAAATATATTTTCTTGATAGGAAAAAAAAATGCTGACTTATCCAAGCTGTCAATTATCACCAAGATGCAATCACAACTCTATCTGGACCTGGGAAAGCTCACAATAAAATCCATTGCAATTTCTTCCCACTTTAATTTTGGAATTATTAATGATTATAAAAACTCGCTTGATCTCTAATGTTCAGCCTTAACAATCTACCATGCTTCACACTTAAATACATACTCCATAACATTTTTTTTCATACTTGGCCACCAAAATACTAATTTTAAATCCTTGTATATTTTTATGCTTCCTCGATGAATATTATATCCGGAAGATGAGCTTCGTGCAAATTCTTCTACTTCAAATCAAAATCATTGGGTACCCATAAATACCGCTTATTCATAATATCACCTTCATCAGCAGTATTCTATTGCCACTTTCCTAAATGGATTTGCTCAACAAATTTCTGAAATTCTTTAATTCTTTCAATTAAAGTTGGCTTCACAATCGACTGATACAGTACAACTATATCATCAAATCTTAAGACCCTAATTGCAAGGCTTTCATTTCCTTAAGTATCTGAGAATTTTTAGTTAACATTGAATTTGTGATACTTGCAGACTTTCTTATTATTGCATAAACAATGGTGAATATTAAGATCATTGTCATTCATTAATTCAAATTGGCTTTTTTGTCTCAAATTTAACTCTTTTGGTGAAGAAATATTTCAAATTTTGACGATCAATGAATATTTTACATTTTTTACATTTTGCTTTATACAAATAGTATCTCCAAAAATTCAAGCAAAGACTACCACTGTTAATTCTAGAACATGGGTTGGATTCTTTGTCTCATGTGATTTCAAATGTCTTGATGCATACATTATTACTTTTCCATTTTGCGTTCGGACACATCTCAGAGATCATCGCTATAATTCTTCTATTCTTGATGGAATAGTTAACATTGGCGCAGTTATCAGATGTCTTTTTAATTCTTGAAATCTATTGTCACATTCTTCTGTCCATTCAGATTCTTATTAATCCATTTTTCTTCTTAGCAAAAAGGTCATGCGCTCTAAGGTGAATTACTTGGTTTGATGATTCCATTGTTGATCAATTTTTGCTGCTGACATTTCAAATTCTGCAATTCTTTAGGAGCCATTCTATTAAGAGGCTTAAATATAGTTGATGTTATTAGCTGCAGTTCAATTCCAAATTCTACTTCTCTTCTAGGTGGCAATTATTGGTAATTGCTCTAGAAACACATCAGAAGATTTTGGTATAACTGAAATATTCTTCAGTTCTTGAACATCTTTATTTATTACTTCAATTTTCACTGAAAAGCATCAACTCCCCACATCTCTATTTACTAAATTTTAATGTCCTGACTAGGGAAGACACCACAATATTACACATGAAAAGTAAACTGACTTCTTGTTAGGCAAATCAAACCTTACTCTTTTGTTCTAACACTCAATTGTAGCAAAATATTTTATTAACCAGGCCATTCTTAGAATAACATCAAAAGTCATCCTAGGTATTAGAATTAATTTTGCTATTAGTTTTCTACCTTGAACATCAAAGTTTATCATGCATTTTCAATTCACATACATATTATCTCTAGATGACATTATAACACAATCTTAGAAGAGCAAGTGCAGATTTTGGGGCCAAATCGGGTACGGCACTTTAGCGAATCATTTCATTTATTCTGCTGCATTAAAACACTCAGATTAATAATTATTTTGTTTTTGCTTCATGCTCTTAATCATCAATTCTATAGCATGCACTGATAGCATAGGAAACTTAGGCTTCGTTTGGGACAGTTTTCTTATTGCTTCTTAAAATACCTTTTAATACAAAATTTTTAATTTATATTCTAAAAAGCTATTTTAAGAATCAGTAAGAAAGCCGTCCCAAACGAAACCTTAATCTAAATGTCTACTCCACAACTTTTTATTTTTACTGTTTTTTGAGCGGGTATTCTATCCGTTGAAGCTGAATTCAAGAAATCTTTTGTAATTAAGTTTTCTTTTCACCCTCTCAACATTTGGCTATTGAACTACGATTGTCTTTGTGACTAGAAATGTAATGCATACATATACACGTGCCATATATGGTTGATTAATATTAATGTTGCAGATCTATAAGCCAACACTCTCTAGGTTTGCTGATTTAGGCGGTATGACTGGGGACTCTCCTAAAGAAGTAGCAAAAGGTACTTTTGATGCTTACGTTTGATATTCTTGGAATCTTATCTGAGCTGTCTCGAGTCTTACTTAAAGAATTATTTCAATAATTTTCCTTATAACAAAGTTAAATGGGTTATGCTTATATTTCTTTTCTAGCTCCAGAAGCTATTTACAAATTACCCGTGCAACTTCAGGGAAAATTATGCTGATGAGATTATTATGCTTTACTTTGAAATAGTGAATGTCCTCATGTCAGAACAGGAAATAGTCAACTGTGTATTTTTTATGCGTTTTACGATATTAGAGCCATCATTTTTGGAGTTAGCCTAATACACATCATTTTTGACTTGGGCGTTACCTCAAGGATTATCTGTTAATCCATTCTGAGATCACGCAAATACTTTGTCAGCTTTCATTGGAGATTCTGAGTGATAGCTTAAAAGATTGTATACGTACAGTGATGTAACTAGCAAGTCGAAACTTTATGAAGGAAATGGAAGTATAAATTTGAGAACTTTCCATCCTAGAGCTTGAGGGACAGCTGAAATAAAAAAGATCCGCTCTTAGGATATGAATACTCGTTGAATTAGAGTGGTCTTAATGGCTGCAAAAATTCAGGTCAGTCAAAGCCTTATTTTGGCAATAGCTAGTTGGGGCCAAACAAACAACACTTATTTTTAATGGTACAATGATGTAAGGAAAGACAAATAACTGGGTTAAAAATCTCCTCATCTCTCCTTACAATCTCAACAGCATTGTCTTTGATTTGAAATTTAAAATGACCTTCAATGCAACACTCTTCTTCAAATTTAAACTCAACAAACCCCAATCAACTTCTACTTGAGATCTGACTTGAGCCTACACCTCACTCAAAGTTCAAATGTAAAATGACCTAAACATCTCACGTAAAATGACCTAAACACCTCACTTCTCCAACCATCTCACGTAAAATGACCTAAACACCTCTGCTGGCTATGAATCATCACACACCTTTCTCTCTTGTTGGCATGAAAACGGAGGTGCTCCTATTGGTTTGTCGTAACGAGAACCCCTTTATTGTTTAAAAAAAAAGAGAGATATGAAATGATACGACTAAGGTTTCATTGGTATAGACCTGTCAATTTCGGGTCACGCCAAGGCGGGCTAGGGCAGCGGGCAGCGGGCAAGGCGGGCAAGGCAGCGGGCAAGGCGGGCTAGAGCAGCGGGAATCAAATTTTTTTAAATTAAACGGGTTTTCGGGTTGACCCGGCAACCCGTCGGGTCAACCCGAACCCGACCCGTTTTTGCAAACGGGTCGGTTTCCCGGACCCGAACCCGACCCGCTTCGGGTTCGGGTCAACCCAAACCCGAAAATTCCGGGTCGGGTTCGGGTCGGGTTTTCGGGTCGGGTCAAATATTGACAGGTCTACATTGGTATAGTTGCATTTCTTGAACTGCATGGAATAAATAAAAATCTCAGTTTTCCTTTCTTTACTTTGTCTGATTATTGTTTGTTAGTTGTTGATTACCTATCAAAGTTGTAATTGCACTATTGGATTCGAATGTGTTGTTGGATGACCCTTGATTTTACTAGCAAGCAATCTTCTAGATAAGGACTAAAGAACTAAGAGAGGTTCGAGTGAGTTTGGAAAGTGAGAGAGAGAGATAAAAACCCAATGTATTATAGAAGATCGAAAAATCTTCAAATATCTCTTCACCCTTTATTTATAGAACTTAGGAGACTACAATAAAAAGAAAAAAAAAATTACTTTGACCCATTATTTATTATATTGGATGTGGCTAGATTGGTAGCCATGTGGTTTTGTGCCTTTGACATGACCCTCTATTTTAGAGTGAGTTCTTTAGGCAAGCCTTCTCGGGTTGGGCGAGTCCTTATGATATAGCATACGTGATGAGCCTATGTGGGTGAGTCCTCTAAATGGGCGGCGAGTCCCTAGAGGTAGTGTATGGACCTCTGAGTGTGAAGGGCGCAAATTCTTTCAGGCGACGATGATTGCAAGTTGAGGTTTTGATTGAGTTTGGAGGGTATGATCAGTGGCCCTTAAGGCGTGCACTTTCTGTAGCTGGATCGGGAGATGTTAGCGATAGCCTGATGGTCTGGATGATGATGATGACCTTGGAAGTTTAATTTATGCCAAGATAAGTTGTTTCTGAGGGTTGGATGAATCAATGCGAGGATCCAGTCGGTTGGGATGAGTCACTCTTCATACTGATAAGTGCTTGTGATGGGCAATGTGGTTGCTATGGTCAAATGCTTTAGCTAAAACCTGCTAGGTACTTATGAAACACTTGCTTGGGCATGTACTCGTATACATTTAACTCACTGATTCAATTGACTCTTTAGAAGATGAGTTATGAAAAACACAAATGAATTAAAGGAGAGCTTTTATTATTGCTACCAAATGGTAATAAGGGATTAAGTAGAAGTTACTACTGTGTGCTCCGAAAATTCGGCCCCGGCCTCTGCCCGCACTGATCGTGCTTTTTATTCTCGGCGAGGGAGTTTTAACGGAATAAGTTCCGGGGTAAAGTTTGGAAGGCATATGGGTTTGTAGAAAAGACACTACTCAGAGATTTCACCCTCATTTTGTGAGGACTTTATGATATTAGTTCTGGTTTCCTAAGGCGCAAGCCCCTATAGTTAATTACCCCTCCCGATAACTAGAGAGAACTTTCGATTAAGGCTAGTCGTCAATCAGATACGTAGAGATATGTGTTATCTGACATATAGTAGCAACATAGATTTGGATGTTTGGAAATTTGGAATTTGAAGGATTTGGATATTGAGAAATTTGGATGGTTTGAAGTTCGGATTTGATATTTAAAATAAAATTTTTCACCATCTTTCACTTAAAGCGGATGGTGGGGGAATGGATGATAGACCCGATCAAGATCCTATGGTTCCATCGTCCCGGGCCATCGCGGTCCCTGGTCTACTTAGTCAGAGGAGGTAGTCGACCCAACCTGATAGAAGGATCCTTGTCGACAGCCATGTGTTGCTTCGTCCAAAGGGACCTTGTAGACCTGGGGTGAATGTTTGTCTAAGAGGACAAATTTGAATCTACCTTAGCTAACAGAGGGTTTTGTGCCCTATCGATCATATTTTCTATTGATTCATATCTCAAGGATTTGATGTCACAAGGAATGTATTGGCTCTGTTCATAACCGGTATTTCGTGGTGCCATTTGGCGGTAAAACCACTCGGTTCAGAGGGCCCCGGGTCATAACCGTTTATCCTGCGATGCCATTTGGCGGCAAAACCGCCGGTTAGAGGACACGTACCACATCCTTACTGGCAGGAGATTGTTTGAGAATGGATCATAGTGATATTTTCGACTAGGCATTAGCTCTTTGTGAGCTGAAGTAAATCTTAATTTGTTCACCCCGGCAAATTGTTGCGGAGGGTGGATAGATTTTGCTTTAAGTGGTTTATGGTTAGATTTTGATTTTAAATATTTGACATTCGGGTTCTGGAATTTCGGATTTTGTGGAGTTTTGGATTTTGATAGGCATTTAGATATTTGGGAGACATTAAAAAAAATATTTGTGAAATAAACATTCAACACGGCCATCATCTGGTTGTGGGGTCATTCATTGACTAAACCTTGTCGACCTTATCAACTTACTGATAGAGGATCGGGTTTCATCGATTTTATGCCCTTGTTAGTGAATTCTCTTGATTATAGGCCTTAAAGACCTAATATGAATGTATTAAAATAATTATACTTATCCCCACAACAGTGTATTTGTTTGAAGGTTCGAACCCTGTCGACTCCTATTAATTTGCATAAAAGGATCGGGTTCGAACTTGAATCTACTTATCGACCCGCGCAGCATCTCTAGACGTCACGTGTGTACCAATAACACGCTCGCCGGGGCCCATGCGGCGGTTTGGGTGTATTTTTTTAATTATACACTGTCGACTTCTTTTTACCTGCTTAGGAGGATTGGGTTCAAATTTAATAACCCGCGCAGCATCCCTGGACGTCACGTGTGTATTTATAACACGCTCGCCGGGGCCCATGCGGGTTTTATGATTGCTTTTACCCTTTTAGTGTATCTACGTGTATACAAACTACGGTGCACGTGCGGGGGTACTTTGAAAGTAATTGTAGACGCCTTATGTCCGCTTACGTAAAAGTTGCGAATCCGGTGACGTGGTGTAGCAGCTTCTGAATAGAGTTGTTCGTTGTTTCGTACATGTATACTATCGTGCACTACTCATTGCTTTCTGTAGGTGGATCGTAGTGCACTAACTAATCTTCTGCCTTATTTTGGTAGATGTCGCTATCTGCTACAACTCCCTTATATCTTTCTTGTGGGAGGCATGTTAGGTGTACAACAGGTGGCTATAATCTTTGGCCTTTTTAGTACATTCACTATTGTGGCTCATAGGTAGGTAGATGTGTTCATTCATAGGCTGCAATTGACTTCAGGATACTGCATTTATTGAAATTTTTCTGGATCTACCCATAGATGGAATGTTGTACATACATCTGTATTCATAGATAGATTGTATGTATTGCAGATCTTTCATCCTTGCATGTAGAGGTCCAATACATTTGCTTGCTGTTGAATGATGGTTGACTACAAGAGCATTATAATATTTATCAGCTCTTTCTACATAACTTGTAGGTGCTTTCATTTATCACCATTTCTTATGTGTTTTACTCATGCTCCTTTGTATTCATAGCATTTTAGTAGTTGTTATCTTCCCAATGGACTACATCAAGCATGATTTCTTGTAGATAGAATGTTGTGTATTTATTTATAAACTGGCCAACACTGGTTGAAAGGAAGTTATATCCTTGAAATTCTTCTTTCTTTGCTTGTAGACCTACTACATTGCGTATGATGGTTAGCAAGTCATCACATTCGTCATGTATCTTTTGTCAAAGAATCATTGTATCCTTGTGTATGCCAATCTTTATTATTCATAAATGATTCATCATCTATGAAGTACCACTAGTTTCGTTGTTTGTAGGTAGAATTAGCACATTCACCTTGTATATTAACATTGACTGTT